CAATGATGTCTCCTACATCTGAAAAAAATGTTTTGATGTACAAGTTGCTCTGAAATGGATAGCTGAAGGCAATTCTTGTCCTGAAACCAATGTGGGAGTATTTATAGTACAAAAGTCTCTCATCAGGTCGTATCTCTGTCAAGCTGTTACCATGTGAAATACAACTCTAGAAAGTGCAAATGGCTCAGAATAAGCTATTTCAAAGGTCTCTAATACTGACCAATTTGCTCAGAGACTTTTGTATGTTCTCCTACACAGTAAATACAGCCGAAGAGATACCACTAGTATATGGTCACTCTGACAGTTCTATTTTTCTGGAGTTGAGGTATTACTGTACCAAAGCCAGACTAAAATAATCCAACAAAAATCTGTCTCCTTGAAGGCAGCCATCAGTCAGAGCTTGCATAAGACTCTTCTGATATTATACCAAGATATCTGAAAGGGGTAAGTTGAGAGAAGATGCTTCATTCTGTAAGGGGAAAAGGAAGAGAAATCTAAATCAGAAGCTTTGTTCTGAGGCAGTTTTCTAAAATGTTTTGCTTCCCTTTCTGTTTATAATATAATCACTTGTTCTTACTCAAATTGCCTTTGGGATTCAGATAAGCTTGACTTATTAGCACTTCCATTACAATGTTGTATAAACATGCTATCGAGTTGATTATTTTTTTTCCTGTCTAACATTTGTTGAGTTGTACTGCATGCCTGAGCATCCTCAGATATTGATACAGGAACAGGATGAGATGTCAGAGTTATCAGCTTGTGTCTCCAGGCTGAAACTGCCAATGTATGCTGCTGTGAAGGTTAAAGTACGAGATTTCTTTCCCCTTGTCTTCCTCTTTTATTTGTGGGTCCTTCAAACCTTGGCTTCTGAAAGCTCAGAGGATTTTAATGGTAAGATTTGGAATGCCATTCCCAGTGTTTCCTAGGGTCCAATAATACAAAAATCTCTGGCACCTGGAGCACTGGCAGGAAGTAGATATTCAAGAAAATAGATCCAGCTACCTGGCAGCAGAAGTTGTGTTTTGCTGAAGTATATTCATAAAGTTAACAACAAAATTCAAGAATTAACCTGGCGAGCCAGCTCCTGGATCCCTTGTTGTAAATTAACTTCTGCAAAGAAAAGCAATTATCTGTTCTGGTACTGTGCCCTGATCGGCAAGTGAGTTGAAGAGGGTGTTAAGGACATGTTTATGTGTATCTGAATGGCTTCAGTTGCTAAGTGTACCCACAGAGTACACAACAGTGTAACAACACAGAGGGAGGAGATGCTGCTCTTGGCATTCTAGCCAGATGTTGACTTGTCCCTCATCCATTTCTCCTAGGCATCCCTGTGGCCCAGTGTCATCCATGAGCTGCAGAGTGGTGTGAGGCTGCACAAGGCTACTGAGCGACCACAGCGTCACATGCCTCCAAAAGAACATATTTGCTCTCCCTATGAATTACTTTTGGATGATATTCAGCACAAGAGGTATACTCTTCGGAAGGTGAGTGACTGGAGTCAATGGACCACTTTGAAACCATCTGTTCTACCTCATATCTCAGCAATATTCATTGGGACCTCTTCTCCAGAAGTCTGTCTTTATCAAAGGTACTTCCAAGTCCAGAAGTGATCTCTCTCTCAGCTCAACATTAGTTCACCCTGTTTGTCCACATGAGTGCTTAATTTCCAGTAACTTTTTAACTCGGGGTTAGCCACACTTGATGAAGCTGGATGGTAAACTTCTTTCCCCTCCAGGGGGTCAGCTGCTCCCTTCCCTGGAGCAATTACACTGCCTTGCACACAACAGTTTCATGAAACAGACCCTTGTCTGCTTATGCTTTCTACCTTGGACACTTACGTCCTCTCATGATCCTTGAGCTGAGCTGTGCCTGGCATCTCTTACTAGTTTCTTTGCCTTCCCAGATGTTGTGAGATGTGTGCAAGTGCAAAAGCACTTTTGATCAAGCCTTTTGCTCAGCCTCTAGGCAGTGTACAGGAGCTACTGCAGGAGTTCAGTCGGGGAAAAAAAAGTTGAGTCCCTTCCAGGGGCAGCTGCTGTGTTCACTCAAGTGGTGGGGACTTCCAACAGTGTGGATGGTTGGTGAGGATGATCAGGTACAAAAATGTCTGGGGTGTCTCTAAAGGCTTGTGATGCTGTTAGCTTGCTGCACCTTGAGCTGGAAATGATGAACAGATCTAAAATGTTGGCACAAGGCTTTGTGGCATTGGTATGCTTTAAAAACAGACATCTTGGCAGAAGATGAGACACAACTCTACTTGTAATAAAGAGTAATATTTTAAAAAGCGAAAATCAGCTTTTTTTCTCCATGCACCTCTGTAAAACCCCAGCTCTCGTTTGTCTTGACTGTGGCTCCAGCCTTCAGATAAGGCTGTGACATTTCCCTGAAGGTTTGGTATATAAATGAATAGTACTGGAAAAGAGACAATACATCATAACTACCTGTGTTCTTGCAATGTAATCTGTAGCAATGCACTGTGCAGTACAGAAGTGTAACTCAAGGTGGCAGGATGAACTGGGTCTTGAATTTCTTTTCTTTTTTTGTCCTAAGCACAAACACGTTTAAGAGTTGTAGTCAGAAATGCCAGAAGAAAGCAGAGTGCTACTGCTCAGGTCTTTGTGAAGGCTCTTAAATGATGATTTCCCCATCTGCAAAGCTATTTTAAAGCTTCTCTAGCCAACAGTGGTCTAATTTGCAAATGAATGAAAGCACGGCTAGCCTGGGATGCTGTAGTAGTGTTGTTCTACTTGCACTCTCAAGTGTTCTGAAGCTGTACACATAAGGAAACTAAATGGTATTGCCTCGAAGTAATAATAAGTAAACAACGCAGCTAAATGCATGCGAATCTTGATTTTTTTAAATTTTTTTCTTTTTAATTTCTCCCTTATGCAGTGAGCACAGGGCTTGATGAGGGAGGCAGCCTGCCTCATATGACTACCTGTCCTGCAATTCTATCTTGCTGTTGTTCCTAGTTTATGTAGGGCTGTAAGCCAGTCTCTGGGACTCTAGTTTATGTGTACAGCTGCCTGCTGCTACAGTTCTTATTACAGTCTTGTTAACCCATTCAACTACTCTCCTCCCTGGAGCTGAGTTCTCACTGATGAATGTGATGCGACCATGGTGCTTTTCAGGATCACCGCTGACACTAAAATCAGAGTACGTTTTCTAGTGGCTCCTGAGAGCAGTTCATGAGCTGCTGGGGCTAGAAGACTGTATACTACTTGTGCAAGCCTCAAAGGGCTGTGCAGGGCTTCTCATTGCCTCTAGTTTACCACAGGCAAATCTGCCTGTACCAAAAATCCACATAAGTAAACCTCATCATTCTACACTTCCCAACTCAGTCTTGTTATGACTTCCCCACCACCTCCATTCCCAAATCCTGACTTGAGTCATTCACTGTGCCACTGAATGGCAGGGTGTATAGGGAATAGAGGACAAAAAACCCTATTGCTTAACCACCACTTCTGCTTTTTCAGGTGGTCATCGAGCAAAAACACAGGACCTCCAATGTTGGTGTAGCTGCTCCCAAGCCTCATCTAAAACCTGTAGGTTACCTAGTGCTGCATCTAATGATAGCAAAACAAGATGATTTTGGAGTTGATGATGACAGGATGATTTCTAGGAATATAAAGCTAAAGTCTTAGCTACTGGTTTGGATTTGGAGGGACATATATTAACAATACTTAACTTTTGGGCAGACCTGCCTGGCAAAACATGGGGTTAGGAAAATGGGAGGTGACATCTTCATAGGATAAAGATGATCAATCTCCCTACTTCCTCCACTGCTGCTTCTATTTGTACCATTTTGTGGTCCTGAAAGTAATCCTGGAATTCTCAGTTACAATTCTGAGAGTTACTAAAGTTTTCTACCATGCAGCATCTAAAGGTTCTCTCATGTACAAGGCCCAGTACCCTCTTGAGTAAGAGGCACTTGTAAAACAGTGCCGTTGCTGAAAGAGTAGTTTTGTCACCAGTGGTCTCCTCACTCTGTCCACTGGCTCTTTCTGGTGCTATGCTTTGCCTGCAGGTGCTGGAGAAGAAGCTGAAAGAATGTGTGCCATGGGAGTCCAGCTGGCATGAACAGCTCACAGCAGACGTAAAATGGCCACAGAAGCTTCGATCATCAGCAGCAAGGGAAAATGAGAACAGACCCAAAGGTACCTGCTACAAAGTGATCTATCAGGCATGCAAGTGAAGTTAGCGTTGACTAAAAATAATGGATGGCCTTTGAAATTAAAGCCCACTTATCTTTTCCATAGCATGAAAAATACAAGGGAGCTGGGAATGAAAATTTTGTGTGATAAATGTGGTATGGTATAAGAATAGTTCTTTCTAGAAAATCTGTTTGTGGCTTATTAAGACTGAAAAGATGTTTCAACTAACCCTTTTCTGATGGATGTTCAAACTTGTCTATGAAGAGAGGACAGGATTTTGACCATCACCCAAATTTAAAAGATTCTGTAACTACTGGGACAAAGTCTAGCCAAATATCAAATTCTGATATGTAGGTATCAAATTTGTAATTTTCTTGTCATAGCACAATATCTTACCTTGTCTGTGTGTATGGGTTTTTTTGTTCTACCTCACCCCTGCAGAAGTGTTTAAGACACCAAATATTGACTTGAAATCTCCAAGAGAGAGTTTCTTAACTCTCCCAGATGTCAGTACAGAGTTTAAAATTGTCAACACTACAACACAGCAGCTGGGACCAGGAGTTCGGGTAAGGCTTTAAATGAAAGGACTCTGGAGAGGCACAAGGACTTCAGGCATTAGATCTGCACACACATCACCTGGAATGTCAGGTTCTAATCCTAGTGTGGACAACCTTGTCTCTTAAAAATGAACACATGTGGTACTGTTAGGGTCACTGATGTGCTTTCCTCTACAGAAGCTCATACCATGTTTAAACACTTCTTTTTGTGTCATGACTGCAGCCTATAGATCCAAGGTCTGCTCTGGTCTCTTAAAACTAGAACCTGCAGAAGTTTTAATATGCAAAGGAGTTTGGCTAATATGAGCCAGAACTATTTCTGCCCTTACCCCATGGTGAGCCATTTGATGCTACATGTATTTGCATTTCACATGGTCTGTGAGCTTGTGGAAGGAAAACTTCATGACTTATTTTCAGGAAGCAACTTTAAGGGTGAATTCCTGCTCTTCTGCCTGTAGAGCAATTTCAGGAGCAGCATTCTTCAATAAATCACAATGCACTGCCTTCATATTCTTTAACTCCCAGTCTGATCATGAGAAGCTTGACTGCTTGGTTTTGGGACTCAGTCTGAGCATATTCAGAAATTCTGCAGAACAGTGCTTAAAGCTCTAACACATCATGTCTAGCACAGATGCACTGACATACAAACAGGAATCTGTTTTCTGTAAACATTTCTGTATGAAATGCAGTTGCTTAACTGAGTAAAATGAATATTAATAAAAGCAGAAAATCATAGTTATATTTGCACAAGTCTGTGCTAGTTGTAGGAATGCTCAGCACTGGAGAACCCTGTGGTTGATGTATTACTGCTAAACTAGAAGGACCTTTATATGGAGACTAATCAATTTTTTCTGCTTTTCTAGAGAAGCTAGAAACAATGCTGTTGAGATACAGCATTGGGTTTGAGTTGGGTTAGTGGGGCACAGTCTTCAGTGTTGCTATGTGTGAGCTGGAGCCAAGAAAATGATTCCAATGTACCCTCTGGGTATTTATTGTGTACAATACCCTTTTGGGTATTTTTTGGGTATCCCTTGTATAGGAAGAATTTTGTGAAGCTTGTTCTCGAACAAATGAAACTTTGGGACTAGTATCCGCGTTGAACTTGAGTGAGAGAGAACAGATTAATTGGAAATTTCACTAGCTTGGCTGGAGCTTCCTGATTGCAAGGGGAATTAACTTGCTATTATCTCTTGGAATATAAAGTTGCTAAATGTGACACATAGATTTTCCTCTGCTCTGCTTTTGGCTGAGCCTTGAACATTTTTGGTCAGTCCTGGGTATCCTGAGTTTTGTTTAGCAGCAGAACTTCTGTGGAATTGGGCTTGGTGTCTCTTGTATGCAGTTTAAGAATATCCTGTCCTCTGATCTACAGGAAACTACTCCCAGGCTGCCTTCCAACACATGGCCTGCCTCAACCAGGCCATTACTAGTATCCTGTAGCAGCCCAGGTCAGTGTAATTCTAGCTGCACGTCTTCACAACCAGGTAACAAAGGACAGTCAGTGGCCTGCTGGGTTCCCAGGGCCTTAGGTTGGGCTCACTGTAGGCTTTCTCTGTGATCACCTGAAGACACTTTGCTGGAGAAGCTCCAACACTAAGTAATGAGTCTGGGGAGGTGCCCTTAGAAATCCATTCCTCAGCAGTTGACTGAAGCTTGTATGGCTCCTGCAGCTTCAAAACAATGATTGCATGTCCCCAAAGGCCTAACTGGAATTCACAGGAAAAGCTAAATGAGTGTTTTGAATGTTCAAGTAGACAGTGCACCACTTGATTTTATTAAACTAAATGGTGCTAATGAAGCCTTATCACTGCCTACTGACAAGCATAATTACTGTAACCTGCTTTTTGTGATCTGAGCTGATGGGAGATGAGGGGGAGAGATGTAAGCCTTGCTGCCTTTGGAAGGCTGTGTAGTGCTCTTGAGTGTTCAGCTTTTGGGATGAATACTAAAGCTGCCAGCTAGTTTTCTGCACCCTAAAACTCTTTTCCTATCCAGGTTTTGCTGCAAATGATGCATATCCTCCCATGAGTGCACCTCCAGTAGAAGAAAATGAGCCTAACAGTTTCCTGAATGCTGGCCAAACGCAGCCACCTCCTTACAGAGGAAGGTCCATATCTTTAGAGAGAGGCCTTCAAAACAAGGAACATGTAAGTCCTGCATGTCAGCTAGCAAACCTGGTCTAACAGATCTGGTAATGACCAGAGCTTCCACCTTGATCCTTGTGCAAGTAATAAGCATGTTCTGTGGCCTTTATCTTAGGCCATATTGTATACTGATCTTAAGTTGGGGTATTATTGTCTCTTTGGAGACAGCTTAAGATAAGATTGGATGCTGTAGTATCCTTGGGGAGGCTTCCCAGTTTGAATCTACCAAATAAAGTTGTTGTACCAGAAGAGAAAAATACCACTGTATTACTCCAAAGTGTCTGTCAAGGCTTTCTTCCACTGTAGCTGGCAGTGGGACTGTCCTGTTTTCTCCATTTCCCCTTATTCTTTTTAAATTCTGATATGTTCACAAACTTCCTTTAATCTGCAGTAAAGGGAACAAGTGGTTGACAAAATGTGGATAGCATGGCATTAGCGACCTTTAAATGTATGCACTACTGAAGTCCTTGAGTCTCTAAATTATTGCTGTGGGAGCAATGATGGGTTTTGTGGTACTTATGAGCAACCTTCTAAATTATGGCCTCTCCCTGTTCTGCCCTGGCAAGGTGTGCTGTGCACTTGCAGCCTCATTTCCTTCTGCATCCCTCCCTGCCTGCCCCCGGCAAGTCTCTAAACTTACTACAACTCTGTGTAACCTCTTTGCTCAGCAGTGTGGTGGGGGATGCAGGTGGGTTGAGCTCCCCACTTGGGGATAAAAGCACTGTTGTCTCTCCTGGTCAAACACCAGACCATAGCTGTCATTTGCGTGGAGCCAGTGAGTCTTGGCAAAGAGAAGGCAATAGTGTTGTGCTGCAGAAAGGGATCCTGTACCTAGGAGGGTCAGGGTGTCACCTGTGCTGTGGTCCATACCAAAAGGTAGACTTCTCCAGAGACTTGCTCTGGAGATGCTATTAACTACTGTGATGACAGAGGGACCTAACTCCCTAATGAGGTGTCAGGAAGTTGCTTGAAAACTGTAGCAACCAATAAAAGCCTTATAGTAGTTTCTCTGCTACTACTGTCAAAGAGTCAACTGACAGTCCTCATCACTGGGAAAACGGAGTTCTGGGAATAAATGCTCCTGAGCCTTTTGGGACCCAGTTTTCAGGATTCCCTCCCCAAATATCTGTTTCTTTCAGCTTTCCCTGATGTTTAACTTCTGTCTTTCAATAGGACTGTTCCTTTCTTACTAAATGGCCATCACCAACCATTGCTGAACTGATTAGAAACAGATATGCAACGATGGTGCTGGAAGGGCAAGGCTTTTCCCAAGGAGGTAGTGCTTGCATCTTTCCAAGAGCAAAGGTATGTTTCCTCTTCTCCTTGTCTTTGTGCTATCCATGCCTTTTCAAAAGCTGGCTGGTTTCATGGCCCTCAGTGCCAAACAGCTGAGGTGCTCTCTGCGTCAACTTACCTAGTTCATGCAGCTGATCCTAGGGTGGCCTTAGGCTGCAAAGCCTTTTAATGCTTGTGTGGTGATGGCTTCTAATCAAGCTGAAGCTGTGTAAGTTACCTGGAAAGTAACCCAGTCTTTGCTTGATATTTCTTGTCTGTTATTTCCGTGCTAGGAAAGCTGATACCATTACTGTTGCCCAGCTCTGAAATCACGAAGTCATTAATTGAGATTTGGTACTGCTAAACAGTGAAGCAAAGGCTCTTCACTTAGACACTCACATCTGAGTTGTGCTAACTCAAACCACCTTGCTGAGTGGATGCAAAAGTTGGGGAGATGAGGGGGACGGGGACCTGCAGCAAAGGACTGATGGCTGTCCACTCTGCTTAACTGCTGGCTTATTCACCAAGTCTCCTTTGGAGAGGAGCTATTGCAACCAGCCCCTCTAGAGCAGATGTTGTGAGTACAAGCCCTTTGCAACACAGATGTGAGGAAGTCTGTGCTACTTGACTTAGAGGTCAGCTGCTTGCTCACTTCTTTAGCAGTATAGACAGAGCCTTGCTGCTCTGCTGGCAGAGCTATGTTAGTTCCACAATCTGTCTGACACTCCCAAGATGGAATCCTTGTTTTCTTCTCACCTCACTTACCAACCCTGCTTTAACTTGCCTGCTCTCTGCCTGTTCTAAAATGGGTCTCTTACCCTCTTTGGGTTCTTGCTGCTGAAGTTTTTTTAGCTTTCTCAAGCTCTGCTTTTCAAGATAATATCACTTCTGACTGCCAGCTGTAGAAGAATGTGTCCCTTTTTTATCAAGTTCAAGCAACTCATCAGCTTCCTTATGACTCATTTTTTGCTTCAGGATTGGATTCAAATTCACCCTGGCTTAATCTCTTTGGGATTTCTGCAGTCTACCTCAAACAATGTCTCTCTTCTTCTCTCTCTTAACTAGCTACTGTTACACTCTTGCACAAAACAGCTATTGTTTGCTCAAGAGCCTTTTTTTAAACTCCTGTTGTCTGGCAGCTGCCTCAAACCTCTGCATCATAAAAAACCTAGCCTACAAGTAAGACATTTTTTGCCTTTTTAGCTTTTAATTCCTGTGTCTTTGCTATCCTTTCTTGGACCTCTGCTATTGTATGTGAATCTAAAGTCTTTAGAAGGTTGGTTTGTATGCTTGCTCTTTGGCAGGCAGTGGATACTGTTGGTAAAAAGATATTTTCCATTGGTGTTCACAAGTAACTTTCTTTTCCACAGATCTGCTTCAGCTGCCATAAGCAGATGTTTCTTAAGTGGCCTTACAGCTGTTACCTCTGCAGCAGGTGAGCTGGTACAAAAGGACTGAATGAGGAGGGTGAAAAGTGTGAAAGAACAGTGCTGACAATAGTCAGTATTCAAACAGTTGTAGTACTGGATAGGAACAGGTTGCCAAGCCCTTCAGTTCTGCCTTACTGCACAAGCCAGGCTGACGTACCTACAGTTGCAGAGAGTGTAGAGAAACTTGCCTTTGAAGTGATATCTCAATTTTAACTTTTAGTATGAAGCTATTTACTGTGCAAGTATTAGATGCCATTTCTCTGAGACCACTCTCTGCATTTTGCTGTAAAGGTTGGGTTTAACTTCAGTCAAGGGCTTGAGCAGGTTCTAGGAGAGGGTCCTCACCAGAATCTTCTGTTGAGGACTAGAAAAATTAACTCCAGACCTTGTGACTGGGAAAGGAGTTGGGGACCTACTTGTATACACTTATTTGTAGGAGGTTTTCTGCTCACTGGAGAGGAAAAGAGGAACTTCACGTTCCTCATTGAAGCTCACTTAAATCTATTTGAAGCAGTGGTGAAGCCCTGAAGTGATTACAAGCAACAATAAACAAGCACTGGGAATTAAAGAACTGTATGGGGGTAGTGCTGGGTGAAAAGTAATGGGAATTTGCAGATAAGCCCTTCAAGCTATGGATGGTGACACATTTTAGATGATCTAAACTAGCATAAATAGGAGGGCTAGCAAACTGAATAGGGGAGCTTTAAGCTTGCTTGCTTTGCTGTCAAGTGATTGTGCCACAATCACAAATCAAGCCTTACTTGAGAAAGTCATCCTTAGCTGCAGCGTTGGTACCTGCTGAGCTTTAATCAAATGATAATGCTGGAAACTTTTTTCTCTTAGTGTTGTCTGCTGTGACTGCTGCATCAAGGCAAGTCTAGTCTTTACAATAGTGTATGGGTTTTTCACATTTTCTGTTTTCCCTGCACCTCACCTAGTCATAGGAAGCTTTCCTTCATCTCACTGATACCTCAAATCTATCCTCTAGCTTGTTTCTAAGAAAACAGAAGGAGGAATATGACACAGTACAAAAGCAGACAGGGTGCCACAGATCTCTCTTGTCATAACTAAAACAACTCTAGTTCTTTCTTGCTGTATTAAGTGGTTGGGATTACTTCGTGCCTTATTTATATAAGGGTCAGGAAGTTTACTGCATTAATGTCTATCTTTTAAGTGCACCAATAAATCAATTGCATGCCATGCAATTTTTTCTGCTAAGAAGGAGAATGTGTTTTCCTGAGAACTCAGGTGATTTGCATTGTGATTCTAGATGTCCATGCCCTCCAGAATGTGTGTACATCTCCCACTTTGCTTCCTAAAACTTTTGAAACTCTACAGAGAGGAAGACTCAGCTACTCAGGAGCAGAAGAGCACGGAGTTGCTGCATAAAATAGAGCACTGGAAGTGCTTGAGGTGAGCTGGGATAGGGATGTTCTGTTATAACCTTGAAAGATGTTACCGGTTACTTGTATATGCAAGTCTAGAAATGTGCAGACAACAGTATGTAGTATTATGCTGGTCAGCTGAATGTTATGCTGAATGACTGGTTTAGCCACTGGTCTAACTAGTCTACAGTTCTCTGGAAGTATTGTGGGTTTTAGATGACCAAAACAGAGGACACGTAGGTGCTCTGAAGTCCATTTTGCTTTTTAGCTATTGGGTTTCTAACACTGATTCCAGAAGTGTTCACATTAGCCCAGACACAGAAGGTTCCTTGCAACAGTTTCATTTATATGAGAATTTTCAGGCCCTGTTATATTCTGTCCTTCACAGTGGAGGGTCTGTCACTACAACCCAGGAGTAGCCCTGTTATACCTAGAAATGAAATATGCTAATGGTCTCAGGTATAACTGACTGAAGAATAATGCCACAAATGGTTTCTCAGTCCCTCCACATACATACAGACACTCTTT